CAGCACCACCAGGCTCTGGCGCGCCGCGTCGCGGGCCAGCGGCGAGCGCGCCGTGCGCACCTCGCCGCTGTGCAGCCCCACGCGGAACAGCCCCGGCTCCGTCGCCTTGGCCAGCTCGTACGACAGCCACGCGTTCTGCCCCGCGTCCGCGTCCACCGCCACCACCTTGGCCACCAGGTAGCCGGAGGGTGCCCAGCGCGGCACCAGCTCTCCGGCCGCGCTGCTGTCGGGGGCCGGGTGCAGCAGCACGGGCGCGTTGTCGTTCTCGTCCCGCACGACCACGCGAAGCACGGCCTGGGCGCTGAGCGGCGGGGAGCCACCATCGGCTGCGCTCACTGTCACCTCGAAGGAGGGGACCTTCTCATAGTCCAGCGGGCGCAAACTCCGGACGGTTCCACTCTCCGCGTCCACTGACACGAATGATGCTGCGGCGAGGGCGCCTGTCAGTGGCCTCACTAGCGCGTATCTCACGCGGGAGTTTTCTCCCGCATCAGGGTCCGTGGCACTGAGGCGGCCCAGGCTCCTCCCCGCGGGCTCATTTTCGCTGATCACCATGGTGTAAATAGCCTGGGTGAAGGTGGGCGCATTGTCGTTCACATCCAGGAGCCGTACGAGCAGGGTCTTGGATGCTGAGAGGGCGGGGGAGCCCTCATCTCGAGCTCGCACCGTCACGTTGTATTCCTCCACTTGCTCCCGGTCCAGTGTCTCTGATGTCACCAGCGCGTACGCGTCAGCTGCCAGCAGCGTGATCCTGAAGGGTTGCTCTCCTGTCAGCTCGCAGGCTGTCCTGCCATTGTCCCCCGAGTCCCGGTCCCGCACGTTGAAGAGGGCGACCACGGTGTTCGGCGGAGCGGCTTCAGAGAGGGTGCTGGTGAGCGAGGTGATGATCACCTCGGGGGCATTATCGTTCACGTCCTTCACCTGCACCTCCACATTGCAATGTGTGGACAGGCCCCCTCCATCTAAGGCCTGAACATCTATCTCATAGGTCTTTTTTTCTTCATAATCCAAAGGCTTTTTGAGTCGAATCTGGCCTGTCTCTGGGTTTATTTTAAATGTCTCTAAATTTTCCTCTGAATTTTGAACTATGGAATAGACGATCTCTCCATTTGTGCCTGAGTCCAAATCGCTAGCAGACACTACCACCACGATGGTATCCTGTGAGCTATTTTCCATTACAGAGACTTTATACAGAGTCTGGGAAAATACCGGGATGTTATCATTTATATCCAGGACTATAACGCGGATTAAGGCTGTGCCAGACCGGGGTGGAGTCCCACCATCCACAGCCGTGATGCTGAAAGCAACTTCTGCCTGCTGCTCCCGATCCAGGGCTCGATCCAACACCAGCTCGGCGTACCTCCTGCCGTCACTCCGCCGCCGGGTGTACACAAGGAAATACTCGTTCGAGCTGATACTATAATGCTGAAGACTGTTGTTCCCCACGTCAGGATCGTGAGCGCTTTCCAGCAAAAAACGAGTCCCCGGCAGTGCAGATTCCGGGATCTTTAAAACAATCTCTTTATTTAAGAACACAGGAGAATTATCATTTATGTCGGTGAGTCTTACCTCAGCTCGGAAGGACTGCAGCGGGTTCTCCAGCAGCACCTCAAAACGCACCAAGCAGGGCTCGCTCTGTCCACACAGCTCTTCCCGGTCCATCTGCTCTCTCACCACCAAATCCCCGGTGTGCTGGTTCAGTTGTAAATACTGCTTTTCTCCTTCAGGAACGAGTCGAGCCTGACGAGCCAATAATTCCTCACCGGTTAGTCCCAGATCCTTAGCGATATTCGCCACGAAAGAGCCTCTCTCCGCCTCTTCAGGGACAGAGTACCGAGCGCTTTCTGCTCTCATCCCCGAGACGCAGAGGACAAGGATCAGAGCCACCACCCTCCCCGGGAGCGGTTCCTCGCTCTTCCTCAGCTTCATTCCCTTCCAGCGACCCGAACTCCTCTCCTGTGAGCCGGACGGAGCTGCCGATACAGCTGCCGACCCCCGAACGGAGCAGCCCGAGATGGTGCAGCCCCGCCCGCCCGAATCGCAAGGGAGGTGGAATGGGAGCTGCGCGGAGCTTCCGCGGTCAGCAGCGGCGCCAGGCGGCCGATCTGGAGAAGGATTCTAAGATTTCCCAGCGCAAAGCCTGCAAAGCAGAGATTAACGGCTCGATTTCTCTCTTCCGAGGTCAAAGCATGGAAATTCAGCAGTCCATACAACCGTATTCAAAGTATTGCCACTGGCTGAACGAGCAATGCCTCTGTTTGCCTTCTAATTCAAAATGGAATTTATTTAAAGCTGGGTTGTTCCTTTTGTTTTGGTTCCCCCTCCCTTCCTCCACTGTGAACGCTTTGAATAAATTACTTATTGTTCAGCTAAAACAGTTATTTTTAAAAATACTTAATACTTAAAACAGTATAACAGTGTATTGCTACAGGGATCCGGCCATCAGGTGAGGTGGTCTTTTAACCACAGCAGCTATTGCCAGAGTCATCCTCGGAGTGGAACGGGATTGTTCCCGCTGTTCAGGACCTCTCCTGCTGGGTGCCTATGGGAATGGGCTGCAGACAGCATCTCAGACCTCAGCATCACACTGACAAAAATCACTCTGCCTTGCTCCGACTTCTGAGACCCTCCTATTTCCCAGGCCGTTCTGATTTGCCCTTGCATAAATTCCACTCCAGGTGCCCGGCTTTACTCCCGAAATCCTGCTCTTGGCTATTTCTTCAGCGATGTCTGTGGCAAGTGATCTCGAGACAGCACACTCACCCGAGGGAGTTCCAAGTAGATTTTATTGTTTTCTCTCATCACTCATTTGAAACTCTTTAAAATGGTTCAGCAACAGGAATTCTCACATTACTTTATAGATTAACACCGACTGACAAAACAAAACCAGAAAGCTTCTTGACACCCTAGATTCTACAGTGCCCTAAGTTAATTGTAATAGTCTTCGTCTATTTTACTGAAAAAACACAAACAATGCTTTTAATTATATTGGATTTTAAAAATAGCAAAATGGTAATTTCAACTTTATGAAAAAAAAAGAAAGAAAGGAAGGAAGAATACATTGTTCAAAGCCTACTCTCTACAATTAGGAGAACCTCTAAACTGGTCAAATATGCCAAGTGTGCCAGTGCCAGCAGCTCAAAATGTGAACAGCTTCTACTTATTTAGTATGAAATTCTTTTGCAAGCACCACTTAATTCTGCATAATACCTGTTTCGCCTGCTGCTGAATACACAGCACAAAATTAAGATATTATTACAAAGCTCTCTCCATAAAAAGAAACAAAGCACAAATGGAAATCCCCCAGAAAAGATGGTGTAACAAGAAGTTAAAGATCTGCTGCCAGTTTTCAGTATTTCTCGAAGTACGTAGAAGCAGTAGCACTCTCACAATCATACATAATTATGTAATCAACATGCAGGACGGTTCCTCCTCCATCGACATCACAATTACAAAATACCTACATGAATAAAGTACTGCCCAAGGGGAAAGTACTCTCACAGAGAAGGCTCCATCTCCGTGGTACCTTTTAGGGAGGTGTTTGGTCTGTTCCCTTTTCCCTTTGAGGACAGACAAACTTGTCCTTCTCTTCACTTATTGATGGGCAATCCAAGGGTTTTGCTCAGAGCTGACATTTAGCTCCAGCTCCCTGTTTGCAGAGCAAACTGCATCTGCAGCTCTGGGCCCCGTATCTTCAGAGAGGGGAGCACTGCCCTGCAAAGAACAGAGAGAGCAGTTGTCATTTGGTGCTGAAGAGAAAGAGGCGTCGCCGAGAAGCTTGGAGGATGTGCCTTACACCCCTGCCTGCATCACACCACTCCTCTCTACTGAGAGTCAAAGAGAACACAAGACTTGGTGGGTCTCTAATCTGAATGATGAACGCCTGAAGTCAGAAACCATCCTCCAAAAGGGTGTTATTGTAAAATTTTTATGAGTCTGATTAAAACTTTCATGAATTTTGAGTAATTCAAAACGGTAAGAGCCCCAAACAGAAACCACTTTCTCACAAATAATAAAATGTGTTTTAATGTTGATATATCAAGAAGGGTCCTTGCCTTCCCTGAGGCTGCTGTGATTTTGACAACCCGCAGTAAATTGAGTCCAAGTCATCAGTGTTTATGAAATACAAAAATATTAATTGACCCTGATGTTGTCTGTGTTTCTAGAACCTCGTATATGTTCATCATCCAATCTACTGTGAAGTGCTAGATGGATCCTTGGAAACTCCATGGAGTCCCCACAGAATCCCATATTAAGAGGTGACTGACTTCGATAACCACTCTTTTCTGGCCAACACTATCCATTTGCAAGTCAGAAAATTCTGAGGGAATTTAAAGCCAGAGGTTCCCACCTCTGTGGCCTCCTGCACTTTGTAAGGCAGCTTGAGTTCAGCACTGCCACCACCCTGGTGAATGGCACGTGTCAGCTCCCAACAGCAGTGCAGGGGACATCCTTGGTGACACCCCTTTGCACAGTTGTCCCCGCAGTCCTATCTGATGCTGCATTCCCATACTGCCACGTCCAGTAAGATGTATCCCTAGGAATGTTGTCATTCCTGCTCCAGGTCCCTACGAGCTCCACACAGGCAGGACCCACTATGGGGACACATCTCTACCTGTACTTTTCACCTTCTCATGGCCAAACTCCTCCCCTTTGAAATGACTCCAAAGTCTTGATCTAACACGAATACTCAGCCTAGATACGGGTGCAAGCGCAGAGTGGTGGTGGGTGCCCCTTGGAAATATCCAAGGTCTGAGCAACCTGATCTAGTTGAAGGTATCCGTGCTCATTGCATGAGGGTTTGTATTTAAAGGCTTTTAAAGGTACATTCCAACCCAAAATGTTCTTTCCTTCTGTGATGCAGAGAGGCGTGGTTAGTCAGCATTTGGGGAGCAGCTGAGCCCTGCTGGATCCTCCTGGGAGGCCTCTCCAGCGGCTCTGAGACCGCCTCTATCTCCTCCCACCCCAGGGACCCCTCCACTCCTCTGTATCTTCAACAGTCCTTGCTGCCAGGGCGCGACACACCTCCCCCCCGCCTGCACGATCACCTCATCCCTGACAGTCCCTCACCTGTGCAATCCAGTCGCTTTCGCCCCCGAGGTTGGCCGCATCCTGCGAGCACACCGAGCTCCGCTGTTGGCCCGGGCCGGGGGGCAGCCCGGCGGGGAAGCAGGGGAAGAGGGGTCTGAGGAAGCGGAACTCGCTGTTGACGGTCCCGGCGGCGAAGCAGACATCGTACACGTAGCTGCGGGGCAGGGAGCCCGCGGTGCTCTCCGTGGCAGTCGTCGGGAACGTGGGCAAAGTGTCC